ACATTTCAATTCAGATATCTGAATTGAAATGTTTGTTTTGATTTGTGTTTTCCTTTTTTCTCAAGCATTTAATATTCAAAGTCATATCATTGAAGCCTGCTGGCTCAAGATTTTTTCATTGAAAGTTTAAATATTTATGTGCGATGGAGGAGCCTCCTAGACCTTGGAGGCTTTGGCAGTGTCAAGCTGCTTCTAACTTGAAGGTCTATACTTCAACAGATGGGTGTGAGTTCCTTTGGATCAGCTTTGAGCCAACACCTGGATATCAAGTGTGGATTTACAAATCTCATGGAGCTCCAGGGCCAGGTCCCAGTGATCCAAGGATCATGGATAGCCTCTTACAGGACAGTTGGTTCATGAGCTCTTTGTATTAGATTTGTTACTGACCACACCTCTATTTTTTGATTCTTGAGCAGGATTCTCGACTGTTCTTCCAGCTCATGGTGACAAATCCCATGCTCAAGAAGCTCTTCCTGGCATGGCTGATTGATGAGGCCAGAGAATGGTTTGAAGCTGGCCACGCTGGTAGAGCTATGTTCTGGAGACAAACTAGCTCTGCCAGTAGACTGTGAAGCTGTCTTGAAGCAAGGCTTCAGATTCAACAGTGGCAAAAGAGCTTTCTCATCTACTTGTAGCCTGGCAAAGGCTCATGTATTCAGGTTGCTTCTATTTAGCCAGCATTGGCTTATGTACCATTTAGCCATTGTGGCTCATGTACCATTCAGCCACATTGGCTCATGTACAATTTAGCCATTTTGGCTCATGTACCATTTAGCTATACTGGCTCATTTACATCTAGCACTTTGTGCTTATGTTTGCTTTATAAGCTCTTTTGAGCTTATGCCTCTGTGTATAAAATGTGTTTGTTCTGACAAGCAGCCTGTCAGCCACATGTGGCACAGTGGTTAAGTCAGTCATGGGTTACTGTGCTCAGCATACTTGCCCATCAGTGGCTTATGTTCAAACATGCTGTCGCAATTCATGGTCACAAGGGTATTCTTTTGTAATGCAGTATCTGCAATTTCTTTAGCATCAAGCTGGAAGACCTTTCTCAGGGCTAGTGCCTGGCAAATGGCTCATTGGAGTGTGGATGATCTATTGAAAGAGATCAAGGACTTGGAGTCATTGCATGCTTTGAGACCACAAAGCATGGTAGTGAGCAATTTGCTCAAAGGGTTGGAAACCAAAGTGCAAGCAATGGACTGCCTGATTCCTTCCATGTTGGTCAAACTCACAGAAGCTTTGGATGCCTCTTCTCTAACAGATGAGATGAAACAATCTCTACATGACTTGGTCGAAGCTAGGGCTATGGAAGCCAATTCTGGTGCATTGAGGCTGCAAAACCAACCTCAGGTTTTGTTGTCACTGTACAACTACATGAGCGCTCAAGAATGGGAACTGCTCCAGCAAGCTCCTTTCACACAAGCAGTCCAAATCTGTGTGAACAGGATGAGAGCTTGTGGGTTGAAGTCAATGAAGGAGTCAACAAAAAAGCATGTGTTGGCTATGTTGATCCACCTCATGCTGCTGAGGGGAGAACCCCAACCACCTGGCACTGAGATCTACAAGATGTCAACCTACTTGCTGGATAGCTTGAAGGCCAGTAAGCAGCAAGCTTTGGTAGCTGGCTTAGCAGTCTACCCTGACAAGCCTGCTGATATCGGCAGTGTTCCTTGATTGATTTTGGTCATCCTTTCTGTGTTTTTTGTTTGGAATGACTAAGCCAAGTTTTCCAATTGGATCATACTCAGCTTTCAGGCTTTCATGGAAAAGGTATACAACCATGATGACTACCCAAAGCCTGTGGATCCAACTGTGGCTACTGGTGTCAAGAGTTTGCTCAGCAAGACACCTGTCAGAGACACTCATGAGGCTGTCAATGACAGCAAGAAGCCTAAGGGAAAAGCAGCTGGGCAAACTTGTGAACAATCTCCAATGCAATTATTGAGTATGATTGCTTCAATGATAGAAAGCAAAGAAAATTGATGAATGCACTGTGGAGCTCCTACAGCCTGTGATGAAAAACAATGCAGAACAGCAAGAAGCTGCTTCTACTTTGGCAAAGTCTTCCCCATTGGCTTTACAGGACAGGAACTTGACTCACAGCAAGTCTTCTTTGAGTTTCCACAGCTCTTCTCAGGATGAGCCATCTGCATTGCAAATGGCCACCGTTCCCCAACCTGATAAAGCTGATGATACTCACCAAGCAAAGAGAGAGAATGACAATGATGTGCCCCC